ACAATTAAAATATTAAAAAATACAAGAAGAAAAGTTGAAAAACCATTATAATTAAGATTAAAAGAAGAAAAAAATTAACTAACAGGCATATTTACAATTTAAAGAGGAACCTACAAACTTAAAAACTTAACATTTACAATTATAAGATGTGATTAAATTTTGTTAAATATTTTGATTTCCTTAAGGATCAATATTAAGATTTTAATAGCATTGGAGTCCTTTTGGAGTGATTCTTCAAGGCTATTTCTGAAAAGATTTGATCCCTAAGAGATTGGAATGCATACCATTCGGTTAGGATATGGTTCACTGTGAGAGGCACCCCGCAGGAAATACATTGAGTAAGAGAGTCTTTCCTCATTAAATACCCGTGGGTAAGGCTAGTGTGTCCGATCCTTAGCCGGGTCAGTACCACTTCTTACCTTCTGGTCAGTAGGGTATTTGGAGTATACGTCCGGATTACTCCTACTAGGTACAGCCCAATATATCTCAATATGTATACAGCGAGTGATGAGCATCAGCCTTATCTTGTATTAAATGTTCGGTTTCATATGACCAAAACACTAACACAGATTTGGTTATCTGACAATTATAATATTAAATTAACGTTTAATAATACTTATTACGATTTCAAGTCAAAAGAAATTTGCACGCTTTGTAATCTAAATGAATTAGAGGATTTTTCATATTTTTGTCCGGTGCCCGATTTACGCTCCCTTCCGCAATCATTTCCTACCTCATTCCATTAACATGACCTTGGGCAAATTATTTCGAATTATTCAAAACTGAAGTCTTCTTCAATAACCTGTTTTATTACACGAGGCCATGTTGAAGATTGACGTCATTCATTTTCAGTGAATAATGACAGTACATATATTTTGCCAAAACTTAGAAGTTCGTATACTTTGTTCTGCTTGTAGTATTTATTGTTCATGCATAAAACATATTTATATGCATAACGTGTTTTATTGTATCATTTGCTATTTACTATTGACATTTTTATACATTATATATTCTATACTATGCCTGTATTTATCTTTATTACTAGTGCTATTTATTACTATTCGGTCATTTTATTTCATGCTATGTTCCACAGGCGGATCTTCGGGGGGAGGGTGAGGGGAGGGGGTTTTCGGGGTGAAGCCTCCCTCCCAAAATGTAAAATATAACCATGTTTTATAGAAATTTTTTTTAAAAACTATTTCTTAAAGTATTATTGTTCGTGTAATTATATTTAATAAAACTTCAAGAACCATTTAAGTACTATTTCATATAGGTAGTTAATTTCTTTCCTTTTTTAAAAATTAGTTATCGTTATATATATGAAAAAAAAAAGCTTCCGGGCTGAAAAATCCCCAAAATTAAATCCTGGATCCGCTAGGGCTATAAGTTCAGGGATAGTTGTCGCAACTGTTATAAGTAGTCTTCTACTATGGAAATAGTAGAGGAAAATAAAATATAAAATTATACTAATAAATCATAAAGAAATAATAGGTTTTTTTTTTATGTTCTCTTGTAAAAAAACGTAATTTTCACACACGACCTTTTGCACTGACAGTAGCGCTGTCTTATTGCCTAACCATGTTTTATATAACTATCTCTTAAAGTATTATTGTTCGTGTAATTACATTTAGTAGGACTTAAAGAATCACTTAAACACCATTTCATATAGATAGTATCTTTCTTTCTTTTTTTCCAAATTAATTATCGTTTTATATATATGAAAAAAAAATAAGTCTTACCCCCCCAAATATGAAGTCCTAGAGCCGCTAATGATGTATTATTTTAATTAGTATTATTTATATTATTATTATTATATTAATTATTATTTATAATACCCCAAATAATACAATAATTAAAATAATATGTCAGAACATAGCATTAGCGGTTCTAAGAAATCATTTTTTGGGAGGAAGACTTCAGCCCGAAAGATATTTTTTTTCATATATATAACGATAATTATTAAATTACATTTCATTATTTATATTTAGGCATACAGCCAGATGCTTGATTGTTATCAGGAAAGGTTGTTGTCACTGAATCCCAATGAATTTTACTTTGTATATAAGTTGTAAATGTATTTCATATTAATGAGTTTATTGTTATCATTATTGCCAACTCTATTTGCATGGGGCATTCCCCGAAAAAAATAAATATATATGCCTTCATTCATTCATTTAAGTAATTAATGCATGCGGGAAAGCTGGAATTTGTAATATATTTTTTTTGGTTAAAAAGATCTCGGCGAATGAGAAATTGCATGAAGAATGGAAAGAATTCTTATCCCAATTCACAAAATGTGTCGGAGGACAGATCGTCATAACTATCGTGAAATTTCAATCCTTCCGGTGTGTTATAAAATATTCACTTTAATTTTAACTAGTCGAATCACGGAATACGCCGAAGAAATTATCGAAGACTACCAATGTGGATTTAAACGCAACCGTTCGACAATCGTATATATTATTTCTAAAAGGTGTTTTTTGTCGGTACGCCATAAGTTCGTCAATTCTTCACCAAATCCAATGATTGACCACTAATTTTGAAGATAGCAAAAAATAGTCCTATCCTTCAAAAATTTCTGGGAAAAAAGTTATGAAGGAAAAGAAATTTTATTTTAACTCAAAAAGTATGCATTTTTGTCTGCATTGTACCCATGATAAATAGAAAAATTACTAAATTACCTACAAAACAAAAAAAAAAAAAAAAAAAAAAAAAAAAATCGTAAAAATCGGACAAATATTAACAAAGGTACAATCCATTAGTTTTGGTATACTTAATAATGTCTTTCGATTTAAAGATATTGCATTTAGGAATAGAATAGTCTACTACATTTTTTTTCCGTGCTGATATATTAACTTTATTATTTCTTAAAGACATTTGGTTGTTCTTACATTTTATTGTTTTTAATAATTTAGAGTATTCCATGATCGGGGTATTATTTTTTCTATATTACAGTCAGCGTTTAGAAATATCTCCTATTATTTCTATTATGTTTAATGGAATATTGTAATCGACAAAGAAAAAAATATTAAATCCATTCTTACATAATTCATAGGAACTACTTATTTACATATTGTTTTGCCATTTCTTCACTAAACAAAATTTTCTGCGGATTTTTCGCACGGGCCAACTAGTTGATCAAATATCTTCTTTACGGCAAATATTGGAGAAAAAAATTAGAGTACAACGGTGTTGTTCACCAGCTGTATATCGATTTCAAAAAAGCTTGTGATTCCATGAAACGCCAGAATCTGTCTAATATTCTAATTGAGTAGGAGACTCCCCCCCCCCCAAAAAAAAAAAAAAAATGGTGAATCTAGTTAGTATGTGTAGGTCAGTATATAGTATATAGGGGTAGGTCAGTATATAGTATATAGGGGTAGGTCAGTATATAGTATATAGGGGTAGGTCAGTAAGTAGAGTTTTGTTAGTCAGGTGCTTTTGTTATGAGTCGCAATAATTTTGATTGGAACGTTTGAAGTTTTTGTAGATGGGTCTTTTTAGCGATACCGTATATCTGTGATGAGTATATCAATATAGGTTAGAGTAGGATAGAGTAGTTTGTTAAGTGTCATACGTTTCTAATATCTTGAAATATAAAATATTGATTAATATTGAATATTTAATAGTTGACCGTTGCATTATAAAGGAAGGAGATGGTCCGGGGTGGCCGTCATAAATAGGCTGAATAGTGGCATAACTATTTTATTAAAAGTCAACGTTTCGACCCGACTTTGCAGGTCTTCTTCAGGGCTAGACCGGACAAGATTTCAGTCTCTCCTGTAGATCTGTAGAAGTATATTGAAATTTTGCATATATTATATATTACACTACAACAATTGTAACATCTATTTACTTCAGTTTCGGATATTTTTACTTAGTTTACTCTGTTTATATTTACTCTGTACTTACTGTTACAATTTTAATAAGTTTATTCTCATTGTTTATAATTTTTTGTCTTAATATTTTGTAACTTCCACAATTTTGGTTTATTATTTTCAATATTGAAACATTGTGATCGACCAAAAAATTCAAAAACATAACCCCCTCTCAAAATTTGAGATTTCACGTTTCAAGACGCGTAGAATTCGAAAAACGAATAAAATTTTTTTGTCCTTCCGCCGTCCGCGCATTTTCTCCGAAACTACTGGACCAATTTTTTTTTTCTTCAAATTTTGATATAAAGGATGATTTTGAGGTCACCTGAGGATGATCCTCCTTCATCGACATTACTCTCCGCCTTTAACTATCAAAATGGCGGCCGAAAAATCTGCGTTGCTATTGACTGTAGCTCCTAAACGAATGTACAGATTTCAATGAAACTTCGCTAAAGTCATTTTCTCGACGCCCTTTAAATTTATATATATAACATACTTCAACGAAAAGAAGCTGGAAAAAAAGTTACGAGGGATGGTAAAATTAAATTCCAAATAACTCGAAAAGTTTTTACTTTTTTGTTGATATTGTATAGTTTTTTAAATGTCTGAGAAATTCTCTGAAAAAAAAATCGTTAAAATCGGACAATTAGGAGCAAAGATATGGTCTCCGGTTTTTTTAATGTGTTCTACTCCAAATGTTATATATATCCTTGGTTTGGTTTTTAAATTTTAAATGTGTTACTGAAGTAATGCTATTTTTATTTTGCATATTACTTATGATTAAAGAAAAACAGTTTAGTCCAATAATTGGAATCACCTTTTGTTTTTTTTTTCTTTGTAACTCGGAAGGTAATGTTACTTTAGATGTATAATTGTTTGAAAATAATAAACCATTGTGAAATAATTTGCAGCGTTTTTTATATCTTGTCCGTTCTAGCCCTGAAGAAGACCTGCAAAGTCGGGCCGAAACGTTGGCTTTTAATAAAATAATTTTGTCACTATTTAGCCTATTTATGACCGCCACCCCGGACCATCTCCTTCCTTTATAAAATATTGATATTAGATGGAATAAATCGTTATTTTGATTATATAACTTGATATCTGGAAGTTGCGGGCTTTCAGAGCTTGTATCGCCCGGATCGAAATAGTAGACTCCACCGCTCGCCAGGTGGCAGGAGCGTCGCCTGCGGAGGCTGGCGAAGGTAGATGGCGCTCCGGTTTTTGTGAGTCAGTAGTGCCCCATCCGCCGTAGAGGGAGGTTGTATTTTTGTCTGTTGTTATCGGAGTGGCGATATGTCGTGCCAGTGACACATGTGCAGAAGAGGGAGTTCTTCTCGTCGTAGAGGACAATGTGAACCAGCAACATGAAGAAAGATGTCGTCGTCTTCCTTCTCCTGTATTCCTTCAGCGTCGGCAAGCTGTCTCCGGTCCAGCCGCTCAGTAGAGGCGAGTTCTTGATATATTTTTTATAATAAATATATCGATATAAGACGATATCGTAGGGGCATTGCTTCTTAACCTCTTCGTGTACCGTTAGAACGCTGACATTATCAAGTTCCTGTCGGAAACAACATAAAATAGTGACACTATCAAGGAGGAATTTGTTTTTCTTTAAAGTTTTATTTAATCCATTCGAATTCGCATATTATAAATGTCCAATTTACATTTTAGTTAATCTATTACATTTCTTGTGTATTTAAAAATTAATTTTTTTATTGAGTAGAATGTCATTTTATCACAATAAAGTAAATCTGTAATACAGATAGAATAGCTCATTCACGCTTTATATCTACAATAAATAAAAATAAATTATATAAAACTACAGAAAAATAATAATACTAAAAATGAACAAAAAAGAAACTTAGAGTAAATTACAATAAAAAAAAATAATGGGAAAAACATATAAAAGTAAGTAAAACAAAAAGTAAAAAAAAAAACTATATATGAAATAGAAATTAAAATATTTTAACTATTGTGTACATATAAACAGTTATATAAATTAAATAGACATTTAAATTAACTAAAATTTTGAACTATGTACAATTGTGAATTTAGCTTAACGAAAATACTGATGAGTAATAATAGCATTGTAAATTAATATTAAAAAAAAATACAAAACATAAAACAAAATTATATATATGCAGATAAATGTTTAACTGAATATTAAGTTAAATATATAGTAATAACTAAAATTGAAATATTAGCACTGTAAATAAATATAACTAAAATAACCAAAATAGAAAATTCAACATTATATATATGGCTTATGTCATGGGAATACCCATGATATCCTGACTGTACTTAGTGTCTCCAGTTCCTTCAAGGTGACTGACTTAAGCGAATGCTGGATGTGAAAGTGGCCTGTTCACCTTGCCTCCACTTCGGGGGATTGTGCATTACAAATAATTTGTATTAACATGTTAACTATTATCTCTTATGTCACTGTTATAGAATAGTCAGTTATAGTGAGATTAATACATCTACGTAACATGACAGTTACACACGCTATGTGTCAAAATGCTCTAAAACATGACCGCTTTCATGTATATAATGTAACAATGTAATTGTTAATGTCAGCCTACTGTCATAACAGTTACATGTAATTGTCAATACTATTATTCCAAGGGAAACTTCAGAACGACATTAGTCTAATCTCAAATTAACTCTCTTACTTTAGTCAAAGCAGCTGTGGAAAAGCAAAAGTGGATTGAGATGTTTTTTGGTAGTCTATTTTTTATTAATAGTAATTATTCTGTAAATATAAAATTACCCATGTAAAATCAGCTGTTGATGACCTAGCGGTTTTATGCCTTTAAACAACAACAAACAAATCTATATAAAATATTTTTAAGTATTACTTGAAGGAACATAAAAATAATAATGCTTTTATAACTTTATTATTTAGGTATTATTATATTAATGTGTATTTTAGATTTACTTTATATAAAGGCCTAAACTCTTGGATGTGATTCTAGACATTTCCTATAAAAGTTCATTTGATGCATGGACTTATTTCGAATAGAAAAGAAGTTAAAGTCAATTTTTTTGTTTTTCTTAAGATGTCCTTTTTTTTATTGAACAAGAAGGAAGCTCAAAAACATTTCAAGATAACTAAATTCTAAGTACACCATCGTAAAGTAGACAATTTTTTTTTTGAGAAAACAGGAATTAAATTTACTATCACTGTACTGCTTCTGTTACTGTACCCACCCATACACAAGTAGTGTTACCCAAAATTGTTCTTGGTCTTGCAGAGTGCAAGACCAAGACCAAAGCCGCCTAACTGTTACAAGAAGAAGACCAAGACCAGGACTGGTAAAAAAACTATATTTAAAAAAAAGTTGACAAAATACTTGACAATCTTAGTTATATGTAAATAATTGGTACAACCAATATAATTTTGCATTTAAGTCCTTTATTTTTTCATTCGGGCTTAGTTAGGTTTTTGCTATCTAAAAAAATACAGTAATATCTCTATAGTAATCAGCTAATAAGTAACTGCAAGACTTATCACTTACTTGTTGCGAGACTCTTGCTCAAGACCAAGACTGAGTTTGCAAGACCAAGACTATTCTCGGTCTCGCATCTGGGCAACACTGTACACAAGCAACATATCTCTGTACCTTGAATCGTACGCAGCATTACAGCCGCCTTATTAGACCTTCTGAAAGTACCTTTTATCTTTGAGCTTATTAAATTTAATCACCATTTTCTCAAAGGAAGCTTTGTCTACTTTTCGATGGTGTAGTTAAAATTTAATTATCTTGAGCAGTTTTTGAGCGATTCCTTCTTGTCCAATAAAAACTTGACCACCTTAAAAGAAACATAAAATTAGTCTTAACTCCTTTATCGTTCAGAATCGGCCTATGGATCAAAATAAACTTTTTTTGTTGGAAATGTCTAGAAGCACCTCCCAGAGTTTGAACAATAAGAACAGAGACACCATGTATAAACGAAATCTAAAATACACAAAAATAAAATAAATAATAAATAATAATCAAGTCATAAAAGAAATTAATCCAAACAAATTACTTTTACCCTTCGTCGTAAATCTACTACATCCTGTCCTACAGTATCCTTTAACAACATTCCATTGATCTCTGTCGAACAAATCCGTTACTTGGGACTCCTTTTTGACAAATGTCTTACTTTGAATCCTCACATTAGATTGAACAGAGAAGAAACTGCCAACAGATTCCGACTACTACATCACTTACTTACTTGACAAACGCTCTAAACTTCCAATATTCTACAAAAAAACATGTACACGTTCATCATCAGGCCCATATGGACATATGAAATAGAGCTTTGGGGCTCCACAAAATCAAATTCTTCTCATATCCAATCCTATATTTGTTAATTTTCAATCGTTAAAATGCTAAATAAAATGTATAAATAATAAAGCAGTTCTAGAGGAAAAACAATAATAAATAATAATAATAATAGTGGAACAGTGAGGAGGTGTGCAATTAGGCCTCGGCATTTTGGGGCAAATGCTGGACCCTCCAGCCCGGAACAAAGTGAGTAATATATTATAATTATAATAGTTTAACAGCGAGGAGGTGTAGTAATCTGATAGTGTCTTCGTTTTAGTGGGTTTATTCGAATCAGAAGAAAGTATACAAGTGAGGAGTGGAATTTTAATCTTTTTTATCAATATATGTTTATATGCAAGTTTCCCTTTTTAAAATGGATCCAGATTTTATAATAACATTGGTGATGGTATATTTGTTAATTTTCAATCGTTAAAATGCTAAATAAAATGTATAAATAATAAAGCAGTTCTAGAGGAAAAACAATAAAATATTAGTGAGATAAATTATATTATTATTATAAAAATTAAAATCGTATTTTAACTATTGTACACAAAATAAAAAAATATATAGTGAAAATAATAAAAAAAATTGTGAGATAAATAATTTTAGGATATTAAAAATCGTATTATAAAATATTTCAACATACAAAATATATTAAATTAATAAATCCAACATAGAGTGCAAGACCAAGACCAAAGCCGCCTAACTGTTACAAGACGAAGACCAAGACCAGGACTGGTAAAAAAACTATATTTAAAAAAAAAGATGACAAAATACTTGACAATCTTAGTTATTATATGTAAATAATTGGTACAACCAATATAATTTTGCATTTAAGTCCTTTATTTTTTCATTCGGGCTTAGTTAGGTTTTTGCTATCTAAAAAATTACAGTAATATCTCTATAGTAATAAGCTAATAAGTAACTGCAAGACTTATCACTTACTTGTTGCGAGACTCTTGCTCAAGACCAAGACTGAGTTTGCAAGACCAAGACTATTCTCGGTCTCGCATTTGGGCAACACTGTACACAAGCAACATATCTCTGTACCTTGAATCGTACGCAGCATTACAGCCGCCTTATTAGACCTTCTGAAAGTACCTTTTATCTTTGAGCTTATTAAATTTAATCACTATTTTCTCAAAGGAAGCTTTGTCTACTTTTCGATGGTGTAGTTAAAATTTAATTATCTTGAGCAGTTTTTGAGCGATTCCTTCTTGTCCAATAAAAACTTGACCCCTTTAAGAAAAACATAAAATTTGTCTTAATTCCTTTTCCGTTCAGTATCGGCCCAGGCATCAGAATAAACTTTTTTTGTTGGAAATGTCTAGAATCACCTCCTAGAATTTGAACATCAAGAACTGAGACACCATGTATAAAGGAAATCTAAAATACACAAAAATAAAATAACAACTAAATAATAATCAAGTTATAAAATAAATTAATCTAAACAAATCCAAACAAATTACTTTTACCCTCCGTCATAAATCTACTACATCTTATCCTACAGTATCCTTTAACAACATTCCATTGATCTCTGTCGAACAAATCCGTTACTTGGGACTCCTTTTTGACAAATGTCTTACTTTGAATCCTCACATTAGATTGAACAGAGAAGAAACTGCCAACAGATTCCGACTACTACATCACTTACTTACTTGACAAACGCTCTAAACTTCCAATATTCTACAAAAAAACATGTACACTTTCATCATCAGGCCCATATGGACATATGAAATAGAGCTTTGGGGCTCCACAAAATCAAATTCTTCTCATATCCAATCCTTACAATCCAACATACTCAGTAAAATTCTTAATGCTCCTTATTATGTCACAAATAAAATTATTCATAAAGACCTCAACATTCTGTTTGTTGAAGACTTGGCCCGACTTAGATACTCCTCTTTTTAATTCTAAACTCTTTTGTCACCCTAACCCTCTACACGAGCGGATCTACGGAGGAGGAGGTTTTCGGACTGAAGCCTTCCCTTCCCAAAATGGTAAAATATAATCATTTCTTATAAAAAAAAATATTTAATAATTCCTAATAAAAGTATTATTACAGTTAATAGTACTTAAAGAATCACTTCAACTCTATTTCATATAGGAAGTTAGTTCCTTACTTTTT